GGGGACCTGCCTAAAAATGAAAATGCTTATTGAAAACAAAACCAGAATGTACATCTGTGCACATTAGATCCTCACAGGTGATAAGAAGATAAATGGAAGACACTATTTTGAAGGCGTAAGATCATTTCATTTCTGTGTTCAGCACTGAAGATCTGGGGGAATTTCCTCCTCCCGACCACTTATCACTTATGAGGCACTCATTGCAGAAGTTGCTTCAAGCTTCTTGAAGATGCTGCAGTTTCAGTATGACCAGATAGTGTTGTAGAGGCACCCAGATGAAATGCTAATTGATTTACTGATGGACTGCAGCGTGCGAACCCTCTCTTGAAGTTGCTTTGGTATTAAAGATGGTGCAGCAATGACAGAGAGCTCTGTGGAACTGTCATCTCCATAAATACTAATAGCAAAAAAAAAAAAAAAAAAAAAAAAAAAAGCCAAAGTTTGGGAAGTGCTTGGGGACAAGGTTGCCCATGAAAACCTAATGGGGTTCAACAAGGCCAAGTGCAGGGTGCTGCACTTGAGTCGGGGCAATCCCAGGTACTTATACAGACTGGGGAAAGATCTCCTTAAGGAGATCTTAAAGAGAAGGAATTGGGGGTCCTGGTGGACAGGAAGCTGGATGTGAGCCAGCAGTGTGCGCTTGCAGCCCAGAAGGCCAACTGTGTTCTGGGCTGCATTAAAAAAGGGGTGGCCAGCAGGGAGAGGGAGGTGATTGTCCCCTTCTACTCAGCTCTTGTGAGGCTCCATCTGCAGTGCTGCGTCCAGGCCTGGGGCCCCCAGTACAGGAAGGACATGGAGCTGTTGGAGCAGGTCCAGAGGAGGGCACTAAAATGATCAGAGGGCTGGAGTACCTCTCCTGTGAGGAAAGGTTGAGGGAACCGGGCTTGTTTAGCTTGGAAAACAGAAGGCTCTGGAGAGACCTCATTGTGGCCTTCCAGTACTTGAAGGGAGCTTATAAACAGGAGGGGGAATGACTGTTTAAGAGGGTGATAGGACAAGGGGGAGTGGTTTTAAACTGAGGGAGATTTAGGTTAGGTATTAGGGGGAAGTTTTTCACAAAGGGTGGTGAAGCACTGGAACGGGTTACCCAAGGAAATTGTGGATGCCCCATCCCTGGAGGCATTCAAGGCCAGGCTGGATGTGGCTCTGGGCAGCCTGGTGTGGTGGTTGGTGACCCTGCCTATAGCAGGGGGTTGAAACTAGATGATCATTGGGGTCCTTTTCTACCCAGGCCATTCTATGATCAACACACACTCTATAAGCCCATATTGTGCTTGCTTCTTTAATGCGCTTTCAGACCAAATCTCAAAGAGAAATGAGAAAAACATTGGAAAAGAACAACAAAAGTAAGGTCAAGGGTAGAAATTGATTTCCATATGAGGAATGAGTAAGCAAATGAGGTTTCTGCAGCCTCTGTGAGAAGACTTGCTGTGTGTAGAGGTGTCCCTCATGGTGTTTTATACAGTCACTGTATAAAAGGGGATAGTCACACTCAGGACTTCTAAAACTGGGCAGTCAGGTAATAGATAGTAGGTACAAAGCAAACTAAAGGATGCGCACTTTCACACAGCACTAATTGGGAGTCTCCTACCATGAAGATATTCAAGAACTGTCTGGATGCCCACCTGTGTGACCTATTTAGGGTACCTGCTTTAGCAGGGGGGTTGGACTTGTTGATCTCTTAAGGTCTTTTCCAAGCCCTGCAACTCTGTGATTTGGTAATTAAGCCGTGGTACTCCTTGCCAATAATACTGTGGATGCTAAAATTTTATACAAGCTGCACAGAAGGTTTCACAAGTTTATGGAAGGCAAATTTATTGAGGATTGGACAGTTGTTACATTTACACACACAGAAAACCACCATACTCTGGGAGGAGTTTGGTATTCCCAGAAGCTGAGCACATATTCAGAGAAGGATTCCTGTGATGTGCTTGATCTGTCCCTGCTCCCTTCCCCTTTATTATTTACTTCTGTCTAGAGTTGGAGGCAGGATACTGGGGGGTGGCCCTATGCTCTGACTCTATGCAGCCAGTCTAACATTTTTATGATCTCAGTTATGAACAAAACATACTCATTTTTCTGTTACAGTAAGGTGACTACAATTTTGAAGAGAAACCATTGAGAAATTTATATTAAAAATTCTTCTCTCTGTAAAAAATTATAGCCAATAATTACCAGGGCCAAAATGACATTTTCACAACTCACAATTTTTATGATACACAGTGCAAAATAGGGTAAAGTCAGCTCAGAACTTCACAGCGAGTACTATCAGTTCTGAGAAGGAAAAAATTAAAGCTGTGCACAATAGACTTCCTGCTGGGGAGCTGAGAAGGGAGGGGAACTCAGTATCCCAAAGGATGCGCTGGTAACAACCCCAAAGTAAACCAAGAGGTGTGAGTCATCGAAGTTGCAAAGCTACAGGAGAAAATCCAGGAAGCTAGATTCAAAATAGGAACATAAGGGAAGCGGGGGGAGAAATAACAAGAAAAAAAAATCATTTAAAGTAAGAAAAGATAACTTGGAGAAAGTTACCTCGAGCTGAAACTTCCTAGCAGTGCCCTTACCACCAGGCATAAATTTGTGCCTCAAACGAGGTAATACAGTGTGCCACCAGCATCTCAGAACCAGCACTCTCCTTTCCAGAGGTAACAGTGTGCATATAGGCATAGGTGTGGGGTGAGCCAAATTGGGATGGGCTCGTTATAAATTAAGCCTTGCTGCAGTCACACTCGTAGCTCCAACTAGCTTTTGGATTTTGCTGCAGAACAGAGTTTGAGGTTCAGGTGTTATTCTACAGCCTGCACTGTTATCCAAACACTTGGGGTGTACCTTCAAGATGGGGAAGTCTGAAGGAAGGGAAAGCAAAGCAGCTAAGAAGGAAACTTAACTTAAAATATGACGTAGAATTGCAGGCTTCTTGTTGTTGTTAACACTTTTCTGCCTTGCAATTGTAATTATTGCTCATCTCCATTAAACTGTACTTCCCTTGACCCAGAAGCCTGACCAGTGACTAGCAGATTTACGTGATGCTGAGAAATATGAGCTGTATTTCTCTTGGAATAAAAAGTTTGTGTACAGTTTGCATTCAGGCACTATCACTAAACTTGTCCACTAAAATCTAACTGAGATAACAAGTTTTTTTCTGCCAGATTACAGAAGCTAGTGTGGTTCCCTTCACAAAGTGTGTGCCCAAAGAAAGGCAACATTGCTAGTGAAGAGTCTGGAGCACAAGTCTTATGCGGAGCAGTTGAGGGAACTGGATTGTTTAGACTGGAGAAGAGAAGGCTCAAGGAAGACTTTATCGCTCTCTACAACTATCTGAAGGGAGGATGAAGTGAGGCAGGACTCAGCTGCTTCTCCTGGGTAACAGAGATAGGACAAGAGGTAACAGTCTTAAGTTGCACCAATGGAGATTCAGATTGGATATTAGGAAAAATTTCTTTTCAGAAAGAGTGGTGATGCAGTGGCACAGGCTGCCCAAGAGGTGGTGGAGTCACAGTTCCTGGAGGTGCTCAAGAACCGTGTGGATGTGGTTAGTGGGCATGGTGGGGGTGGGCTGATGATTGAACTCTAAGGTGATCTTCGAGGTCTTTTCCAACCGTAATGATTCTACGGTGCTACAATTTAGGATGCGGTTTCACAGCAGTTTTAACACCGCCTGGGTTCCAGTGCTCCTGCCACCCCCACTGCAGCCCATTCACAATGATTTCGCTAGCACTGCCACATCAGCACATGAGGCCATCCAGCTGCAAACCAAGCAGCTTTCTGTCTGGCATTGGAGCAAGCCCGCCCTCGGCTTCACCGTGGAGCAGTGATCTGACCCTCCAGTGACAGACTGCAGAAGGAAGCAATAGACGTGCCAGAAAGCGTTCCACCCGCTGTGAGCACCAGACGATTTGTCAGCTCCGCCGACTCGGAATGCTGTACGTGGTAAAGCAGTGCGTGCTATTTCCAAAAAGGGAAAGGGCGGGCGAGCGGTGCGATTCCAGGAAGATCTAATTAGAGACAAAGGAAAGCTGAAACGCTTAGGCAGAGCTATAGAATAGTTCAGCTAGCTGAAGTCCTAGCAAACACTATCAGAACACAGACAAAAGCAAACAAGAATTCAGCAGATGCATTATAATAAGCTCATGATGTGGAGCTGCGTTTGGTTTCTGCCTCTATTCGTTCTGTGTTTTATGCAAAATCCCTGTGAGGTGAGATCCCCAACAACAGCCGGCCGACACACGAAACTCCGCCTCTTCCAGCGCTCCTTACCCCGAGCGCGGCGCTAAGGGAACCACGCCACCAGCCGCAGCCCCGCCCCCGGGCTGAGGGCCGAGCGAGAGGCGGGGCAACAACCGCCGGCCCCTCCGAGCGGGGGCGCGCGCCGGGCGAGGAAAACGCATTCCTACGCCCGGCCCTCACAGGCTCCACCCCCGGCTCGCGGGGCGATGGGCGGGGCTAGCCTCGTTCCCACCCCTCTAAGTCCACATAAAGGCCGCGAGCGCCCCCCGCCCCCTCTTTTCCTGTGGAGCGGTGGCGGTGGCGGTAAGGGGTCGGCAGGGCGGATGAGTGCGGCGCTGTGCAGTTTGTGCTGGGGGACACTCGGGCTTGTTGGTTCGCGTTTGGACATCCGGGGGGCACCGTGTCGCGATGCCGCGTGTTTGTTTGAAGCTGGAGCAGGCGGCGAGGCTCGCTTCGTGGGGCGGCACGTACAGGGTGCGGGCGCTGCGGGGTGGCAACCGCCGTGAGGCCGCAGCCCAGGGGGTAAAGCGCCGCGGCGGCGAAGGGACGGAGGGGCGAACTGCAGGTCCCGGCGTGCCTCGCGCCCCACGGGCAGGGAGGCGGGAAAATGGTAGGCCCGGCTCCCTGCCGGAAGAGGCGCGGGGCACGCTGGGACGCGTAGTTTGTGGAGGCGGCGGCCGCGTGGGCGGCGGGGTCCCATTTTGCCCCGGTGCGGGCGGTGCCCGGCGGGGTGCTGCGTGGCCCGCGCCATTTTGAGCTGAGGCTGGCGGCCGTGGAGGTGCCCTCGGGGGCTGCTGGGTGATCGCTGCCCGCCTGCGCCGGCAGCCGTAAGGCGTTAGGGTCGGAATTCGCCCCTTCGTTAGTGAAAAGTGAAAAGCGGGGCGGCCCTTCGTTACGTTTAGTTGTTGATTACCTATTCTCACGCCGACACACAGAGCGACGGGAGAGAGGTATTCTGACATGAGGTTAGAGCGTCTGTGAAGAAGTCAGTGGCCCTTTTACTTCGTCATAGGATTGTGTGCTTCGTGAATCACCAGATGAACGCTTTAACCGTTGAGGCTTGCATTTGTTGCTAGACAGTGAGAGCAGAATAAAAGAAGCTTTATGGAAATGCATATTTTTAAAAATCTTTAGCCTGAGATGCGCCTTCCTCTATGGGAATGCTGCTGTCATTGAGCAGTAGTTGTCCTGGAAGAGCAGGAATTGTAAGCAAAAGAGAGAAGTAGGCTTATCTGAGAGCAGCGATTAGAAGGTGGCTGTATTCATGTAAGAGGCAATCGCTCTGCCTTGTGATGGCTCATCTAATGATATCCCGAGTCAGGTGTTAGATTACTGAGCAGTGAAATTCTTGTATCTTTACTAGCTGTTAGTACACCGTGGTTATTGGGTGCAATAAGTATACTTTAATTGCTTTCATCTGAAGCGAAGCCAAGTTTAGTGATCTATCCACAGTCTGCAGCCTTTGTTTGTTTCATCTGCAGGTGTGCAGTAATAAACATCTTCGTTGAAAAATGGAATGTATTTGAAATGTACGTAACGGAACAAATATTTGCTTTGCTTTGTGAATGAATATAACTTGTTGTTTCCTTGTTACTTAAATGGCTGTATTTCTTGCTGCCTTCTGAAAAAAACTGCAAAATAAGGCTTGAGTACTTAACATTTCATTGTTTCTGTGACTTCAGAAAGTCTTAATGTGTGTTATAAAGGGATCTGCTACTAAGTATCTGCTTCTTTCAAATGGTAAACTTGTCTGCTGTTTATTTTTAGGTATGAAGCAGAAACTTTCAGTGGTGTCCAATATGTTGTGCAGAAGCATTAAGGTAATAGTTGTTTTTTTGCTATAGGAATAGCCCTGCATGTAAATGTTTCCATTTCAGTTTCCACACTTTTGTCTGACAAAAGTATAGAATGTGTGAGGTGCTGGAGATTGTCATGTTTTTATGGCTGTTGAGTGGAACAAAACAGAAAACCAGTTGCAGGACGTTGCATTTTCATGGTTGCCTTTAAAATGATGAGTAATTATGTGAGTTAAGACCAGTACTGAGGTCACATGTTTTTAATTATCATCTTTTCTGTACCACTTCATTAAGTATGAGGGCCTACACGATAGATCGCTTGATCAATGCACCATCTTTGAGATCAGTGTAATTTAGTAACTGTTAACTGTCTTGCATTGGACTTGTATTGGAGCTAATGTGAACCCACATACGTGGCCATATTTGAATGTAACTGCTGATCCTGTAAACTATGAACAGTGCAATAGTTCAGTTGGAAGGAATCTACAAATACTAGGACTAACACTGTGAATAAATGTGTAACGTAAAACAGAAGTTTAAGTGACTTGGTTCTTCATCCTAAAAAAAAATGGTCTGAAATGATTTCAGGCCACCTTTTTTCTACTGCGTATGGAATTTCAACTGCAAGTTCTTGGCAGACAATTGTACACTAATATTGATAATTTTGTTTTGTATGAAAAGAAATTTTATTTCCTGCTGATCACTTCCTGACATGGTATTATATGAGATGGTGCTTAGATCTTTGTAACTGATTTTCTACTTGAACTAATTTTTGTTTAATTTTGATTTTAGCCCGCCATGGAAGCACCATTGGAACTAGAAGAGTATTTGGTACACACAAGTGGATTTTCCTGAAAGCTGTGTATGTTTTGAATGATCTGTGGAGATAAATTAACTTTTTAAATGGCTTAGCAACAAACTTGTAATCAAATTAGTAACATTGTCATGAGCTCAGAAATGAGATATTAGTGTACTTCAGGCATGTTATTTGACATGATCTATGTTGAGATGTGTAGGCTAGGAAGGTGGGTGAATAGTTTGCATTATTTCAAACAGCTTGTGAAGGACCTGGTAAAATATGTCTAAGATTTATATTGTAAATATGACAAAAGATTATCTCAAGGTGACTTATAATTATCTGTCAGTATACACTTTATGATAAAGTTAATATAAGAGTTGAGATGAAGAAAATGAAGTTGACAGCTGGAAGTTCTTTGTCAGTATAAACAGACAAATCTAGTTTTAAGTTTCCTATTAAAATGTATTACTCATTTTTTAGGAGTATAGTCTATACTCTCATTTTTTGAAAATGCTAAGAAACAATATTAGGATCTGTTCAATTTAACTTGTCAAACTCAAATGCCTACAGCCGTTGGCTGTGCCTGGAAAGTAAAAATGGGGAGAAAGGGTGATTCCCAAGACTAAAACTTAGTCATCCCACTTGGGTTATGTTATTGAATGAACATATTCTAATTGCTTGCTTTGTTTCTATCTAGGATGGCATATGAACAGGTTTTAATAATGGAAAAGTTGAGCATTGTGGTGAAAGATATTCTGCAACTATTCTGCAAGAGATAGAGGTAATACTTAGTGATAAACTGCTGACATTTTTTGTTGATGTATTCCCTATTAAAGCCCAGGGTATTCCCTTTCCAGTACAGTTACTGAAGTGGTGGATTGTGATGAAGTTGCCATACCTGATTTGTTGATGAAAAACTTCATACGGATCTGGCTTCTGAGTCAAAACCACTTTTCTTTCAAAAGTCATTTAATCTTTCTGTCACTCACTCTCTGCTAGTTTTACTTCTATTCTGTCCCCATGTACAAGCTCAATATTGTGAATACGGGTTTTGGTGCACGACTGAAATTGCTTATGGATGTGCTGTTGCTCAGCAGGTGGTAGCACCTTTAAAATAAGGGAGAGGACAAGCTTAGATCTATGTAATTTCAAGTATCTTGTTTTGGAGTGTAAAAATGAGAAACTTGCCAAATATTGAAAGTGCCCTGGTAAGAAAATGAAGCCTTGCTGGGTTTTGAGTTAGCTGATGACACTTGGACTATGACTCTTTCAAAAGCACTGTTAACTTAGGATGTATTCTGATGTGGGCATTAAGGATTGCTAAAGTTAATGGTTAGAGGTGAATTGTAATGAATTAAAGATGTTTCAGCTCTAGTGTTGAAGTAATTCGGAAAGGCTAGTCTAAATTTACTTGCAGCAGGAAGAAGATGTGCACAAGAATGCTCATTGTGCTTCAGGTGTTTTGGTAGCTGAGCACAAGGTCTTCGTTCTTCTCTGTTTTCTGAATTTAGTCTTTCTCAGTGAAATGTGGGGTTTGAAGCACAATTTCTATACAAATTCAGCTTTTATGTAAAAAGTCAAAATCTAGAAGTGTGAGGTTCTAATTTTGCTGTCTCCAACTACACATCTATAATTTTATTTCACTCCTCTCCTAAAGAAAGGCATTTAAAGACTGCTACTAGCAGTTTCTTTTAAAGAATGGGTTTTGTCTCAGTATGTAAAGTTTAAATAAAGGAATGAAGCTTTTTTGTGTGGAAGTGCTACCTGTAAAATAATGTCTTGTTTAGACAGGAGTCTAGAGGAAAGCTGAAAGTAGCAAACCTTGTTAATAAAACTAATTGATGCAATTTTTGTCTTTGCAGGGATGCTTGAAGGTTGCTTCTTGAAGGTATGATAGAAATGATAGAATTAAATTATAAAAATGCATGTGTCTGACTTTTAAGATTAGATTATTGTGTCATGACAGATAAAACTATAAAATGATACTGTAATGAAACTATAAAGATGATAGATTTGGTAGTTCTTTCAGGCCTTGAAAACTTGGCAAACTGAATGACTGTACTTAAAACTGCATTATCATGTCAACCCCATGTAAAAGTACAAGGTGACATGTAAACAATTACTGCAGATGGCTTATCTGCAATACAGTAGAGTTTCTGTATGCGCATCGTGGGAAATGCTGAAGTGTTTCATCACCTATATTGGCTTTAATTATAAGTTTCATCAGTTCCAGCTCAAGATACCATGCTTAATTCTCCTGTTACTTCAGGTGTCCTGCATAGAAGAATAGTTTTTTAATATAACGCTTGTTGGTTGATTTGGGCTTTCAGTGTTTTGCTACCAGCTGAGAACCATATTCTCACTAATATTTTCAGAAATTGTTTGATTACGGTAGGGGGAGGCTTAGACTTAACAGATCAGTTGTCTGTCACAGCTTATAGCAAAGTTAAGTAGTGTCCAGGCAAGACATGTAAAAAGAAACTTACTTTGGTGCGAGAACACTTGTAGGTTACGTTTTCTGAAGCTTAGTAAGTACTGGTGTTAGTCCACCACATGCTTAGTAATGAGAGACCAAATAGTATGCTGTGTTTTGAGTGATGGAAGAAAACATTTCTGAACTAATAAAAGTCTCTTTTCCAGCAGGAAAACGGTCACAACTGTACGAACAAATGCTTCTAATTTGTTCAGGTATGTAATTAAAAAGCTTCCAAGCATTTTATGATTGTCTGAAGTAAGTCTGTGTTTACAAGTAAGAAATTTTTAGTGCTGTGACAGTTGCTAATACGCTTCAATAACTGATACAGTAGGTCTGTATTGTAACTTCCTACTTTCTGTGTATGTCTACTGAGTATAAGATCACTGACTACCCAAGGGACTGCATGTGCCAGTAGTTGTGCCTAACCTTAGCTAACCTTAAAATCTACTTGTGAAGTTTTAAATACTTACCTTATTTATGTGTGAAAGGATGAAGAATGTTAAACTTTTTCATTGCAATCAGCAACGCTATCAAAGAAGAAAAGCGCATCATGCATTAGATTTCCTTTTGTGGTACAGTTTCTGCATCTCATCTATGATGATCCTATCCCGAACCTGAATTCTTTGCTGAAAAACCTACGGATCCGGCATCTGAGATGAGATCAGAATGCTAGATTTGAACTTACTGAAAAGTATTACAAGTTCTGTGCAGTTTTAGGTGCTTTTGCAAAAAAAAAAAAAAAAAAAAAAGTAAAAAAAAATATACAATTCTGTGCTTATTTGCAAGTTTAAGTTTCTTCCTCCTCAAATGAACCATTTTATTTAGACCTTGTTCTCCTTTTTCCAGTGAGTTGGAACGTTTTTGTCAGTGCTGCTTGACAAATGTGGATCTGTAACTGGAAGAAAGTGTAACACCTGGAGAGATGTTCTCGCTTGGATTGGGACCATGCTTTTAAAATCCTGCTGAAACAGTTGTTGAAATTGTTTAGCAGACACTGTTATAAAAAACTGCACGTGAACCAAAATTACTGTCTCTGCATATTTAAAATAACACTTTTTCCAAAACATCAAACTGCCCTCTTTGGGAAGGATAAACGTAGCAGTAGGGAAATAAGTGGTGAGCTTCCATATATGAAAAAGAAACAAATTATTGGCTCTTATGAAATGTAAAGGTATGCAGACTTTTTGATACTGAGCACCTGTAATTCAAAGCAATGGAAGTTGCAAGTAGACTGTGCAGCATTGATACATAAATTCAAATTGCTGAGTGCTTCTTGAAGATGTCATGTAGGAGACGGAAGGAAGTAGATAAGGTGGTGTGGAAGCATCAGCATGAACCACTTGTAAAAAGAAACACTTGAAATTTCAGGTGGTGTGAGGGAAGTTGTGGTTACAGAAAAACCATGGACTAAAGCTTTCATTTTCTTCTGCTTCTAGTCGGGGTGAGAAGGAAAGGGGAGTTTTCATGAGCTGCCAATTTAGCATGAAAAAACCAGTATTGGAACTGGAACTGTGCCCACCGAAGAAGACATTGGCAGTGTTATCTGTTCCCAGCGTGGGAGTATAAGCATTGGAACATTTGCTTGCAGCAGTCACTAACCACACAGTAACATGTTAACATTGTATTTGTTGTATTAAGCAGATCATCTCTTTTCCACCAAGGAAGAAAGGGACTGTAAGTTGATTAACTGAGTAAGTTGCCTTTAAAGACAAATTATGCACAGAAGATGCAATCTACCTTAAGGTGTGGCTCTTGTACTGCATTCTCAGGAATGCATTATAAAGGAGGGAATGTGACAACTGCGTGGTAGCCAATGATCAGAAGTGCTGTGGTTACTGAATGATTTTTGGAATGTACCAAAATACAGAAACAATCATGTAGTTTGCAGCCAAAAATGACAGCATTGGAGGCTAGCAGTTTACTTCCTTCAGGAAATCTAAAAGAACTTCATGAAATACACTTATTTCTAAACACCAAATACCTGGAAGGTCCATTTTTCTATCAGTGCACTATTATAGTAGTGCAGAACATGAAGTAGCAGCATCTGAAGCGTTGGGAAGATCAGAAATAAGTTTGACTACAAAAATGTACATTAATGGTGTGACTGAAGTCCAGGAGTGGCTTGGCTTACTGCATAACCTGCTTTGGTTATTCAGTAAGTAATAACCAGCTGCTTTGCCTGGTTGGAGACTGCTTCTCAGTGAGGTAGCTATGTAAATTGGTCTATTGAGTGTATCATCAGAAGCTGCAGAATTTTACTACAAAAAAACATCTCTTGATGGCTTTCGTCAGGATTCATTATCTATTAATGTTGCTGAGAAGGGTAGGTATTTCTGTACTGTTTTGTATATGCTCTTGAATAAAGATGAGGATGTGGAAAACTTAACTAGCTGTTGAACATCAGTTCTGTAGTCACTTAGGGTGTTTCCTGACAGCTCATATTTTCGAAAGGTTGCAGAGGCAATGTGGCCTTATTGTACTGGTACAAAGCATGCTGAACATGTGACATTCCACACACTGGCTCCTGGACAATGTAAGCTCCCCTGGCAGTTATATACTTCAGAAGTGCGGAGGAATCAGTCTCCTATCTTAGGTCCATTGCATTTTCAGCTCTTCTCAGTGGTGTGCACACCACTGAACAAGGGGTAATGGACAAAAATTGGAACAGGAGGAAGAACTTCACTGTGAAAGACACAGAGCACTGGAACAGGCTGCCCAGAGAGATTGTGGTGTCTCCTGGGATTTATCAAGATCTGTCTGTGCAACTTACTGTGGGGAACCTGCTTAAGCAGGGCCAGATGGGTCTTGATCATTCCCCAGAAGTCCCTTTCAACCCCTTCAATTCTCTGGTTCTTATGTAGTTGACGCTGTTGACAATGTTTAGTGAAGCTGTTGAGATGGTGAGTCAAAAGTTGGCAGTCTTAAGACTCACCGTGTCTTCTGGAGGGGAAGAAGTGTGTTGAAAACCAGAAACGGATAATAGGGCAGCAATATTTGGTAAGTAGTATATTAGCTATTCCAAAAGGGTTTTTATATAGCTTGTTTAACAGTCCAGGGCAAGCTTTTATTTGCAGTATGTTTTGACTGTAACGGTGCCTGTCTGGCTGAAGCTAATACAAAGCATCTGAAGCTTTTGAGGAGCTCCTATGTGGGCATGTAGTGAAACTGGTGAGGATGAGTTGCTCTTCTAATTGATGTCAAAAAGCTAGAGACAGTTTCAGGATTATGGATGATACTTGAGTACCTAAAGTACTTCAATCTTGATCTAAAATACTGAGGATGTTCCAATCTAGGATTGACAGTAATAGATAAAAGGGGCCAAAGAACTGTATTACATTTGTGCTTGGGATGGTGGAAGCCAATTTTGAGAAGCTATTCCTCATAAAAAAATGTGCCTCACTAAGCCCAGAAAATGACATGATGGATGTGTTAACTGCAAATCTAGATAATAAACGCTCACTGGGATGCAGAATATGGGTAACCAAAGAAAAATGTGTTACAAAAGATCTGAACAAGTTTTTTAACCATGAGACTATCTTAACACTCTTCAGAATGAGACTAATGGTTATGATGTTGGAGCATCACACAAATTGTCAAATGATAGGTATAACATTTGTGAGCTTGCTCACGGTGGTAGGGGGTAATGTTGCAAACTACTCGTGGATTTAGAATTTGTACGTTTTTGTGTGTGTGTGATACTTGTATATAATTATGAAGTTGGCATTAATGAATTTGAAAGGTATGTTAAAGTTCAGTTGCACAGAATACCTTGCTGGATTTAAAACTTTGATTTCAGATGTTGCAGTAAATAGCACGAAAGCCCTTTTGCAGTTTGTGTTTTAAATAGTTATTAAAATCTTGCACTGTCATTAGTGCTTAATTTATCACATGGGTATTGGGCTGTGATTCCCAAAATCAGTGGTTAGACAAACTTTGTCCTGGCATATTGCTGTGTTGGTCTTAGTAACTGGGCAAGAGGTCAGCATTCTCCTGAGTTAAGTGAGTGTTGTGTTTAGATGAGTGTCTTGGAGCTTCAGTGGAGTAGAAGAGTAGCTGTGCATAAATGCTTTGCTACCATTTAAGTGAGAAGTCATGCTTAAGGCAGAACGTTTTGTCTGGAGAATTTGTCTTGCTTGCGGAGACAGTAAATCATAAACAGGACCAAGTGAGCTACAGTTACTTTTGCAAAGTACCCGTGCTGCAATGTGAGTTAAGAACACAAGTGAACAGAAAATGTCCTGTCAAGATAACCAGTCTACAGAGAAGCATGCTGCCTGCTTTGGTGGCATTGCTGCCTTCTCTTTCAGGCAAACTCTCAATAATCCAGACTTGCTATATAAATGTTGGTTATGAGTTGTACTGTCACAGATGGACATTGCAATTGAATTAACAGCTGCTAAGTTCCAAAGGTGGAAGCTCAGCAGTGAGTTTTTGAGGAGAGAGACTCATTCACTTAAGACAGTTGACCTGTCACAGCAGTTTGAGCAATGTTAGACTTTGTCCAAGGAAAGATGTTTTTTTTTAACATTGGAGACCATATTTAACCCTCAGTTTGGGATACCATGTTTTCACCACAGTTGAGGACAATCTGAGTTGCAGTGAATTAATTCAGCAAGTGGATATTACAGGTGAGCAGAGTACACATAGAAGCCTGTATATGCTATGTGTTTGTATGTGGCCAGTGACTTCAATTCTGTAATTCTCATTAGAACCAGTATGACAAGTATTTTTGCTTGTCTGTTATTAACTGTCTGCTTTTCGTAGAGGATGTAAACTGAAAAACTAAAATAATGCCGTTTTCTTTCAAACCTGATGTGGCTTTTTAGTAGATGTTGAGTTAGGCTATCAGGGCTGTGAAAACAGTACTCCTCAGCCATTGTTTGAAACTTCCTGTAGGCTCTGCAAGACAAAGTAGTATTTTATGCTCAAAAGAATGACTGTATTGAGTAAGACAAAATCTGCCTTGCTCAGTATTCTATCTGAGGATGACCAGTGTAAGAAACAGAAGGATAGAGATCTTTTCCAGCGGTTTGCTTGGGAATTTCCTAAGGACATGTTAATTCCATTTGAGCATTACTTGGCAATTAGGGCCGATCTCCGTTTAAAAAGATGTAAAATGTGAATGCTATATCAGTTGTAAAATGCATAAAGTAGTGCATATGATTGCAACAGCAGGGAAATAGATGAGAGGAGCTAGGGGAGGACTAAAGGAACAGCTTATTTGTTTTTCTTTGAAGAGACTTTAATATTGGTCTTGCTTTCAACTCTTACACTAGTGAAAACTGCAGTAACTGGAGACTGGCTAAGACTGATGCTAGATCAGCGTTACTGCTGGAACTGCAGTGGAGATAAAAATTCAGTCTACTGATGTGTGTTCTCACCTTAAGTAGCTCTGAGCCATACTTCAGGCTTGTAATAAGTCAGTACTATTTTTACTTAGGATTGAAGCTCCCTGTAACTGAAGGAACATTGTCTCGGCAATGACAGTACTAGTTTAAGGCTTGTAGGTAGAGAATTATTATTACAGGCTGACCTAAAGTAAACCTGAGTTATTTTGTGAATGTGAGAAGAAGCTAACAGATTAATAGACTCAAATACTTAGAACTTATTTTGAAGCTGGTAGGCTGAGTGAAAAGTAAAGATTGTATTTTTAGATCATCTAAAGGTCACTGGAGAGGAATAATACGCAGCCACAGTACTTGGTTAAGTTACCAATTTGCTCTTATTAACAAGGTTTGGTTTGTGGGAACTGGTGCTCCCCCACCTTCCTGTTCAACAGTACTAACCACACTGTAAGAAGTTGAGCAGCAAGAATAGGAGTTACCTTCAGAACATCTTAAAATAGCATTTTTGTTAGGGCATCACAGTGCTGAGGATGTTCCTTCAGAAACTTCATGAGAAGTAACAGTATCTGGATTTTTCTTGATTATTCTTGAACTACTCTTAACAGTTATCAAAAATAGTTAATTTTAGTTTCTGTGCCCTTGAACTTCTGCCGGTTAAGTTGGTGCTGATCGTAGTTTCTGCTAATTTGGTTTGCAGGCAATATGGCCACTGAAAGCCTCTTTTCTATGTGAAGGAACCTCTACATGAAGACATTTTGGCACCATTGATTTCAGAGTCTTTTTGCTGTGTTTTTTGCCTTAAAAAAAGCTGCCATGATGAGTAGAAGTAGCATGACTTCCCTCTATGAGTTAGTAGTTTTTAATATGGAAAATATTTAATAATTCTGGCACTGGTAAGTACATTTAAATCTCTTAAATCTGTCTGAATGTGGCAACCAGTAGTTCTTATGGCACAGCATATTGGAGAAAAAGGTACCTTTTGCTTGTAAGACTAGTAATCACAGCATGTAGATATTCTAAAACTCTCAAGTCTAACATTGGAGGAGTAAAATGTACAATACTAAATGAAGATTTTCCACCAACGGAATCAAAAAGATGGTCATGTGAATGAGGATTTTGCACTCAAACTCCATACTACTATGCCTCAAGTAGTAAGACTAGACTAGCTTTCTACCCTCATTTGTTAAATGAGATGCGCAGTAGTGCTTGCAATCTTAGGGCAGCAATTCTGAATTATACTGTGGTGATGTTCTTCTTTGGCCCTTTTGGTTTCAGGTTTTACTTTTAGTTACCTCTGGACACAGCTATATGGAGGTTCTTATGAGCAGTATGTTACTGCTGAGCTGTTGGGTAAGGACTGTTGACTTTGTGATGCCTTTTACCTGACCAACTTTAAAAGAAAAAAGCCTGTTAGCTTCAGTTTCAAGCTGAGGAAACTTGTCAGTGTCTGGGATCACTGCTTATCATGAGACTTGAATCTTCACTTACCCAAAAAGAGAAGAAAATGGTCTACAAAGAGGTTTTCTTTTTCTCTGAGATAGCACTCCAGGAAGTGTCTTGGCCTTAAGTTCTGAAAGAAATGCTGCTTTTCCTGAAGGATCAGTTTGGATGTTCCAGTTAACAACTTTACTGCCAAAGTATGACCAGGAAACATGAAAATTTATTGATTCTCAATTAGGAAGGGGCTCTTAAGCTGACAAAAAGTATATATATATTTATTCCTAACTTATAGTTCTTTCAGATATCACAGTACATCTATTGGAGCTTTGAGCTCTCTCTGTGTGAACTTTCTTACTCTTGGCCAAAATTGGGATTGTCTTCAGCACTGTCCCTATCTGAAGATCCTTTTCCCCTTTTATCCTATATGTCAATCTGGCCCATATTGCTTTTCCCAGAAATTATGCAACAAATGTGCTAAGAACCAAGGCAAAAATATAAAATTACAAAAGATAACTATAGGCCTTCAATATGAGACTTCAGCAAAGGAAAGAAAAGTCACTAGGAAATTTTTTTTGTCTGTAACTTATAATAATACTCCAAC